TAATACTTCTGGTTTTTGCTTCTTTAAAGAGTTATCTGGGCCAGCGCCGCGGCTCCCTAGGCTAATTCCCTGCCTGCGGTGCTGGCACACTGGGTTCTAGTCCCGGTCGGGGCGCCGGATTGTATCCCAGTTGCCCCTCTTCCAGGCCAGCTCTCTGCTGTGGCCCGGGAGTGCAGTGGAAGATGTCCCAAGTGCTTGGGCCCTGCACCCGCATGGGAGACCAGGAGAAGCACCTGGCTCCTGGCTTCGGATCAGCGCTGTGCGCTGGCCGCAGTGCACCAGCCGCAGCAAACATTGGAGGGTGAACCAACGGAAAAGGAAGACCTCTCTGTCTCTCTCACTGTCAAAAAAAAAGTTATCTATTTTTTTTTTTTGACAGGCAGAGTGGACAGTGAGTGACAGTGAGTGGACAGCGCTGATCTGAAGCCAGGAGCCAGGTGCTTCTCCTGGTCTCCCATGCGGGTGTAGGGCCCAAGCACTTGGGCCATCTTCCACTGCACTCCCGGGCCACAGCAGAGAGCTGGCCTGGAAGAGGGGCAACCAGGACAGAATCTGGCACCCCGACCGGGACTAGAACCCGGTGTGCCAGCGCCACAAGCAGGGAATTAGCCTAGGGAGCCGCGATGCCGGCCTATATATCTATTTTCAAAGTCAGAGCTACAGATCTATAAAAAGAGCGAAGAGAGAAATCTTCCATCTGCTGGTTCACTCCCCAGATGGCTACCACAGCCAGCACTGTGACAAGTTTAAGTTAGGTGCTGGAAGCTTCATCCAAGTCTCCCACATGGATGACAGGGGCCCAAACACTTGGTCCATTCTCTGTTGCTTTTCCCAGGCCATACGCAGGGATCTGGAACATGTCCATATATCATGCCAGTGTCTTTGCCCACTATGCCACAATGCTGGCCACAAACTTTATGTATGTCAGAGTTACAGAGAGAGATGGAGAGAAAAAGGAAAAGAAAGAGAGAGGAGAGGGAGAGAGAGAAGAGAAAGAGGGAAAGAGATCTCTTCCATCTGCTGATTCACTTCCCAAATGGTTACAAGAGACAGATCTGGGCCAGGTCAATGTCCAGAGCCAAGAACTCTATCTGGGTCACCAACACAGGTTGCAGTACCCAAGTACTTGGTCCATATTCTCTTGCTTTCCCAAGCCATTGGCAAGGAGTTAGATCAGAAGTGGAACAGCCAGGGCATGAATTGGTGCCCATATGAGATGTAGCATCACAGGTGGTGGCCTTAACCATTAGGCTACAACACCAGTCCCCTTCTGTTTGGTTTTTATTCAATATTACTCTTCGCTGAATATCTTATCCAAGTTATATACTGATTTCCTAATTTCATTTAACTGTTCCTCTGTATTTTTGTGTAGCCTCACAATCATTCCTTCAAATTCTTTTACAGGTATTTTGTCAATTCCCCCTTCTTCACAGTCCAATATTAATGCATTATTATTTTGGGGCGGGGGGAGTAATACTGCCTTTCTTAATCACGTTTCTTGCATTTCTATGCTGATTTTTGTGCACCTGGGGGAACTCTTTGTTTCTAGCTCTTCTGAAGGGATGGTTTTGTTATTGAAGGCTTTATTCCTAGAAATGTGCCTCTGGGTCTTGGCAGAATGCTTAAGGATTACACTTAAGTTCCAGGAGTGTGTGCCAGGTGAGGCCAGACAACTCTTACAACAGCTCTGGGTGTGGCAAGTGTCCAGAGTGATACTCAAATGGGCATGGAAACCTTTGGACACTCATTTTATGAGGTCAGCATCAGCTTAATTCCAAAATCAGAGAAAGATACAACAACAGCAAAATAGAACCTTACACCAATATCCCTGATGAACACAGATGCAAAAATCCTCAACAAAATACTAGCAAATCAAATACAACCACATATCAAAAAGATCATTCATCCACATTAAGTGGAATTTATCCCAGGGATGCAGGGATGGTGCAACGTATACAAAACTATAAATCTGATACATTACATAAACAAAATTAAAGATGAAAACCAAATCATTACCTCAATAGATGGAGAGAAAGAAATTGATAAAACATAGTATCTTTTCATGATAAAAAACAAGCTTTTAAAAATTGAGCATATAATGGTGGAATAGTGACAGGGAGGTATGCTCTAGGCTAGGTGAACTTAGCAGAAAAAAAAAAAAGTGAAAAAGTGGAAAAAGTATATTCTTAGGGGAAAGTTGCAAGGAAAACTTTAGTGAGAGGTCCTGCAAAATCACTGGAAACCACGTGGACCTTAGTGGGAGGCACAGACGTACAGCTGGGGTACTGGGCAAACTGGGTGGAAAACCACACTCTCGGAGTTCTTTAGCTGACAGGGCAGCTCACTGCAGTGGGAACTCTGCTCACAGTGAGGACTGCGCGGATCATTTATGCAGTTCATTTAGTGGTACAGATCAGTGTTGAACACACTGGGGACTAATACCTGGGCATTGCTCAGCTTGGAGGAGAGGAGGTGATGGGGTAATCACACCAAAAGTTGTGATCATTCACTCCTCCCACTTCTGTTAATAAGAGGAGGGCTACCACTTCCAACTTGGGTGTTACCCTGAATACTTGCCCAACTCAGGAGCACTGACCAGAGCTTCCTGGCCACACCCACTACATACCTTTCAGTATTCACTGAAAGCATAGACATTCCACTAAGCCACAGAGGCACAGTTCAAAGATAATACCCATCAGAGGGAAAAAATCGAGATATAATCCAAGTCTTAAGAGAAAAAAACTATCCACCCAGAATACTGTTCCCTGCAAAGCTCTCATTTATGAACAAAGGTGAAATAATAACCGTTCATAACAAACATAATTTGAAAGAATCTGTCACCATTCTCCCAGGCTTACAAAAGATGCTTAAGAATGTGCTACACATGTCAGATTTCATGACATACTATAGGGCTATTATAATCAAAACAGCTTGGTCCTGGGACAAAAACAGACATGTAGACCAATGGAACATAATTGAAATCCCACAAATTAATCCATGTAACCCAAACCAACTAATCTTTGACAAACCATCAAAAATCACTCTCTAGAGAAAGGAGAGTAAGTGTCTTCAACAAATTTGCTGGGAAAATTGGATTTCCACACACAGAAGTTTGAATCAAGACTCCTACCTTATGCTCCACAGAAAAATCAACTCATAATGGATTAAAGATCTAAACTTAAGACATGAAATCTTCAAATTACTAGAGGAAACATAGCGGAAATGCTGCAAGGATTTGGACAAGGCAGAGATTTCCTGGATTAGATCCCAGAAGCATAGGCAATAAAAGCAAAACTAGACAAATGAGATTACATCAAGCTAAGAAGCTTTTGCACAGCAAAGGAAAAAATTCAAGTTAAGGGGCAACTGATAGAATGGGAGAAAACATTTGCAAATTGTTCATCCAATAAGGAATTAATATACAGAATATATATGGAGCTCAAGAATTTCAACAACAATAAAACAATCCAGTTAAGAAATAGACAAAGGGTATGAGCAGACTTGTTTCAAAGAATGAAATACAAATGGCCAACAGACTCATGGAAAGATGCTCAGGATCACTAGCAATCAGGAAAATGCAAATAAAAGCCAAAATGAGTTATCACCTCACTCCAGTTAGAATGGCTATTATCTGAAAATAACTACAAATGTTGGTGAAGTTTTGGAGAAAAATGTACACTAACACATGGTTGGCAGGAATGCAAATTGGTACAACCATTATGGAAAACAGTATGGAAAGTCCTCATAAAACTAAAAATAGATCTACCATCTGACCCAGCTATCCCATTCTTGGGAATATATACAAACCAAATGAAATAAGCATATGAAAGGCACACCAGCACTCCCACGTTTATAGCAGTACAATTCACAATAACTAAAATATGGAATCAACCTAAATGTCCATCAACTGAAGAATGGATAAAGAAATGTCATATCTACACAGTGGAATATTACTTAACCATAAAAATGTACAAAACCTGACATCTGCAACCAACTGGATGCAACTAGAGATGATTATGAGAAGAGAAATAAACCAGACAAGACAAATATGTTTTCTCTTATTTGTGGAAGTTAATATGTAGTTATTATATAGAGAGTTTAAATTATAAATTATATAAATTATATGACAATCATAATTCCATATTTACATATAAATATTTCTTTATTGAATCATACTATTTAAATGAGAATATACTCTCCTTTCCCATGATAAAAAAAGAAAGAAATGGAGAGGGAGGAATAGTGAGGACTCTTGAGGTCATACTAATGTTCTTACTTTGGGTATTGGTTGCAAGTGTGCTCAGAGGACAAAAACTTTTATTTGTGCACTTACGTGCATCTCTTGGTATGTACACTGCACTTCCCTAAAATGTTTAAATAAAGAATGATCTGTGAAAAAGAGAGTCGAACAAGCAATCATTCATCTTTAGACAAATCTGAATCAAAACATGACAAGGACAGAGAGAAATGCCCATTAACTCAGAGGCAACAAAGCAAGCAGAATTGGTGAGGGCCTAGAACTCAGAATGTGGAACTACTGACAGTCTAAACTGCACACACTCTTCCATTCTCAATAGCAAAGCACTGAACAGTGCAGTTGTTAAGAACATAAACTATGGGGTCACATTCCCTGGTTTTGAAACCTTACTTTGCCTCTTGCAGCTTAATAAGTTATTTAAATTCAGCTTCCTCATCTGTGAAATGGTGACAGTGCTCACCTAACCAGGCGATTGTGAGGAATAACTAGACTCAGCAAAACAGCTGTAATGCTATTTAAGGATTTTCTTCCCTCACTACTATTTTATATTGTTACAAATAAACACACACACACATAGATACACACAGATTGAATCTCACCCGTAAGGATAGAAATATAAATGAATGAGAATCCATACTTTAAAATTGTCAAGAATTATTTTTAAAGTTCCTTTGCCACATCAGTAGGAGATAGATATAACACTATAGGAAAATAGAGCATGATATATAAAAACACCTTTTAAAAAAAGGGCTTCTGTTGTGAGTGGGATACGTAGGGTGGCTCTGTTTGCTCTTCATGTGGAATCGACATCAAGATATTTTGGAAGCATAATTTTTTGGTACTGGGACAGCTGGTGATCATTGGTCCTGGCGCTTGAATTAAAAAAAAATAGAGACAGAAATGGAACCAAAAAACACATTGTAGATACTTAATCTGAGACAATGGAGATGTATGTAATTTTTAAATACACTGGTGTTTATCAGAGTAAATAAGAGTGGAAAATGGAGACAAATTAAATATCAAATACTAGGACATAAACTGTCAAAAACTACAAAGTGTCTGTGTCTGACATTTTAACCTACCTAACAAACTAACAAGTAGCCTTCCATAGTTTCATAGATGATGGCGGAAGGCATAAGAGTTCAGATCAGAAAAAGAAGGCATTATTACTCATGGCACAGCATGAACTTCATGTTCAAATTATCTCAGTGTGCTGCCCCCAACCAAGTCTAAGGCCCAATATAGAATAGCCCGTGCGAGTGCTGCGTACACAGTAAATCTTGTGTCTCAGGGGAAGAATTCTGAGGGCTCAGAGTTTAAGAAATGCAATCACATAAGTGCCGTGGGCAGGCAGGAAACTAGGGACCAAAGAGGAGCTGAGAGATTGCCAGCAGCTTCCGTGCTGCAGCCATGTACGACACTTCCTATTTTTAAAAAATTATTTATGTGTATTTATTTGAAAGGGGGAGAGAGAGAGACAGACAGACACAGAGAAAGATCTCCGCAAGTGAGATCCCAGTGGAAAGAACGGGTCATCAAAGAAGGAGGTACCTTTCTCTGAAGGGAGGAGAGAACTTCCACTTTGACCATGGCCTTGTCTAAATATGATCAGAGTCGGTGAACTCAGGGGGCTTCCATAGCCTTGGCAGCTCATGACAAGAGCCTAGGGTGATTACTGAGGCCATAAACAAAAGTGTCAATTTGTTAAGTCAACAACAGAAGTCACTCTGCACTTACTCCTCATGTAGGATCTCTGTCCTTAGTGTGTTGTACATTGAGATTTAATGCTATAACTAGTACTCAAACAGTATTTTTCACTTTATGTTTCTGTGTGGGAGCAAACTGTTGAAATCTTTACTTAATGTATGCTAAACTGATCTTCTGTATATAAAGAGAATCAAAAATGAATCTTGATGTGAATGGAAGGGGAGAGGGAGAGGGAGTGTGAAAGGGGAGGGTTGCAGGTGGGAGGGATGTTATGGGGGGGAAGCCATTGTAACCCATAAGCTGTACTTTGGAAATTTATATTCATTAAATAAAAGTTAAAAAAAATAGGAAGTACTGATACATGTTTCAATCAGGACAACCATGAAACCATTAGGTTAAGTGTAAAAAAAATAAGTCACAAAATGTCATGTTGTATGGTCCAGTTTATATGACAGGTTCAGAAAAGAAAACATGTAGAGACAGAAAGTAAATTAGTGGTTGCCAGGGGAATGCCTCCCAAAGTGATGGTTTTTTTTTTTTTTTTTTGAGATGATAAAAATGCTCTGGCATGGACCAGTGCTGTGTCGTAGCAGATAAGGCTGCCACCTGCAGTGCCGGAATCCCATATGGGTGCCAGTTCGAGTCCCAGCTGCTCCACTTCTGATTCAGCTCTCTGCTATGGCCTGAGAAAACAGTGGAAAATGGTCCAAGTTCTTGGGCCCCTGCACCCATGTGGGCAACCTAAAAGAAGCTCCTGGCTCCCGGCTTCGGCTCGGTTCAGCTCCGACCATTGCAGCCATTTGGGGAGTGAACCAGGATGGAAGACCTTTCTCTCTGTCTCTCCCTCTCTGTAGCTCTTTCTTTCAAATAAATAAATAAAATGATCAATAAACACATTTTTGGAAAGGGTCACTAATGATAAAAAATACAATGAAACAATGAAGTGCTATTCTTTAAATTAGCAAATGTTTTAAATAACAGAATAGTACATAAAAATGACACTCTATACCCTCTTTCTGAAAATATTAAATGATATAAATTATTGGAAAGTCATTTAGCAATCTATCTCAACCATGAAACTGTTGATCTTCAACAACGTAATTCCATCTAGACTCCATCCTAGAAGAATAAACATAAATGCAGATGACAATCAGTAAATGAAATGTCCATCCTAACACTATTATAATGGCTTTAAATGTGGAAATTAATATGATGAAATTCCCATTGAATTCAAAACATGTACACACAGTCTTCTAAAACCATGTTTTTTAAAATATGTTTTTAAAAAGATTTACTTATTATTTAGAAGGCAGGGCAAGACAGAAAGCAAGCAAGCAAGCAATTGATCGATTGACTTATCTGTCTTCCACCTATTGGTTCACTTTTCAAATGCCTGCAACCGGAGCCCAGAACTCCATTCTAATATCCTAATGGGCGACAGGGACCCAAACACAGCTTTCCAGCCCAGGTTCTCTTTCTCATTCACCCTCTCCCTCTGGCCTGTTGGTTTACCCCACCCAACAATAAACCTTTCCTTTAACTCCAGTGTTTGGTGTGTTTTGTGGTGGCCATACACAGCCTACCCTGGGACTTACAGACCACTCAGGACTTTCATTCTATTTCAAACATACAAAGGGAAACTACTCAAAATCTTAGCACAGTAACATGATCCATTTGTGGCATAAAAGCACGACCCAGCGCCCTCTGTGGAAAAGGAATTAGAGAAGAGTAGGAGACAAAATTAGTAGATGAGTTCAGAGGCTATTAAGATTGATGGCTCAGACCAAGGAAGTGCAGGTATTAAACAGCTACTTTGGAGTTTGAGAGCTTAGCACATAGTCTACTTTATAATTAAAATTTACACATATGAGAAAAATGCCTTCCAGAAAGACTCATACAAAATGGAGAATATACCATACACATATGCATTGATTGGTACGAGATCATATCCTACAGATGCTTCAAGCTACTTCTAGAAAGCCTGAGTCTTGTCATACAACAAAGCAGTACTTGAACCAAGTTATTACTAAGCACCAGCAAGTTTTCAGAGAAGCAAAGGAATTCAGACAAGTGAAGTGGAAACCCCAAAGTTCACCGTGATGAGAACAGGCAATGCTTGGTGTTTTCCCTTTAACCCAACTGCAAAATGCCTTGCCCTTGGAACATTTTAGTTTTCCTACAGAGGAACCATTCTGAGAGAGAAGCATCCTGCTTCGCATATGCTCTAATAAAGGGTGCAATTAAACACACACACACCCAGCAAGAAATATGTGTTAAGTATTTCAGATTATTCACATGCATCTGTCTCCTTCAACCACACTCCAGGGACTGAAACAGAACACACAAGCTGTGATGGACGTATGTAGTTCACAAAGAGTAAGTGAATGCTTTTCATTGGAATAGGAAAGCAAATGTACATGACATATGCACACATTTCTTCTCCTCTTAAAATAAAACACTGGCACCCACATGGATGCCACTGCTTCAAACCTACAGGGTCAGATAAACCATCTTTGTGTATACTCTTTACAAATTCCATCATGAAGTCAAAGGAAACCTACCCAACCAGATGCCCTAGAGTATAATGGAAGCAAATGGTAAAAATGAATGTGGCCGTTAACCGCTACCTATTTTACAGCGTGTGCTCTATAGTAGTCATCTGCTTTTTGATTTAGACAGTTAAAACTATTTTTGTGCCGGTGCCGCGGCTCACTAGGCTAATCCTCCGCCTGCAGCGCCGGCACACCAGGTTCTAGTCCCGGTCAGGGCGCCGGATTCTGTCCTGGTTGCCCCTCTTCCAGGCCAGCTCTCTGCTGTGGCCCCAGAGTGCAGTGGAGGATGGCCCAAGTGCTTGGGCCCTGCACCCCATGGGAGACCAGGATAAGCACCTGGCTCCTGCCTTTGGATAGGCGCAGTGCACCGGCCATTGTAGGGTGAACCAACGGCAAAAGAAGACCTTTCTCTCTCTCTCTCACTGTCCACTCTGCCTGTCAAAAAAAAAAAATAATTTTGTACTTAAAAATGTAAAACAAAAGAAGGATGCTGTTTAACCTCGTACCTCAGGTTCACTTGTCTTTATCAGTGACACTGTCTTCAGCTTCTGTGGGGGCTGTACCAATGTGTTACAGTACATATTTACAAAGTTACAGCACAGCCATGTCTCAAAGGCTCCTGGTCCTCCTTGGCTCCTTCCATGTGAAGCCTTAGCTCTTCTAGGAAGGCTTCCTTCATCCATCATGGTGCAGCTCATCCTCTGACTGTTCTCCCTCCATACCACTGTTCCCTGTACCTATCTCTAGGAGACTGTCGCTCCCCCTCTTCACAGAGGAACGACACAGGACCCTGCGCTGTTCTTTTGTCTGCTCGGCCCTCCCCGGGTTTGCTGCTGGTTCTTCCCGGGTTGGCTACCGACCCTTCCACCTCTGTGGAAGGGCGGTTCCCCCTGCCACTTTCCCCACTTCCGCGGGGGAGCGGCACACCGCCGGCCGGCCGGCTCTCTCGGGGGCTGCTCAGGTGTTCCTTCAGATAGATGTTCCTGGTGCATGTTGTCTCTCTCCTCCTTTATAGTCCTCTTCCACCAATCCCAACTCTGCTACCCACACGCCGAGTAAGCTGCTCTCCTCCAATCAGGAGCAGGTCCTATAGTTTATTGGTTGAACCAGAGGCAGCTGTGTAGAAGCTGTTTTTACTCCTCTCCCAGCGCCATATTGTGGGAGAGCAGATGCATAGAATAAGTCTTAATTCGAGTAACAGTCTAGTCTGAGTTGCTCCCCACAGAGACAATGACATATTCATGACTGCTACCCCTTCCAATCTCTGACTTCCTAGAGGTCTGGTGCTCCCAAGATCTACCACAAATCCTGGCACAAGAAAATTTCTCAAATGCCTGTGGAATAAAAAGATTGGACACATTCATCTGACCCATCCAACACTCTGCATTTTGGATTGTGTCTCCCCCGAAGTATCATAACTGCTAATGACCCCTCACACCAGTGACACACTTCAGGAAATTCTTTACGGCCTCACCTCTCTTTCCATTTCCAGATAGAAAGGGGTTTCTGACTTGAAGTTTTAGAGTGTGTCCATGAAAATAAATTTTAAGGATGAGAAGATTGCTTGCTGCTTACATTTATACATATGGCTTTGTATTTGGTGAGCTGGAATATAAAC